TCTCTCTCTCTCTCTCTCTTATTGCAGGCAAAAGATGAAAGCTTCGTGCCCTGGATGTGCATCCCACAAATCTCCATCAACTGCAAGATGCTGTCCTATCAATATGGGCCAACATTTCTAAAGAATGCTTTCAGCACCTTGTTGAATCAATGCCACGTAGAATTAAGGCAGTTCTGAAGGCGAAAGGGGGTCAAACACCGTATTAGTATTGTGTTCCTAATAATCCTTTAGGTGAGTGTATAAACTAACAATACATAACTTTTTGTTAAGTATAGATAATTTAATGATTATAAATCTACCCTCTGGATCTATAATTGTGTTGAGTACTGTGAAATTAACATTTTTATGTATTAAAATTGCTACCCCCCTTTGCCTAGAGTTATAACAGGCTGAGAACACATTAGGAAACTGTGTTTTAAGTTCATCTGTAGCTGTGGCAGGACTATGAGTCTCTTGTAATAAAGCAACATCTGCCTGTAGTTTTTTAAGCTGGCTAAATATTTTTAACCTCTTCTCTCTGGAGCCAGCTCCATGCACATTCCATGAGACAAACCTTAGTGCGCCCATAGACGTGTGTGTGTCATTAACGTGAGTTTGCCGTGTGCTCCCCTTTGTCCTGTCCGCTCTAAATAAACCCGTTTGATAGTATTCACGGCTCTCTCGCCTGATTCCCTGCTCGCCGACACCCGGTCATCACATAAGCATGTAACTCGCTTTTATTTTATGCATAGTATATTTTATTTATGTGTAAAAATTACAGTGTTTGTTCATAATCTGTGTGTTCAGATTCCACATGGCTGTCAGTGGACAAACAGGAGGTGACGGGTGTGGAAGGAGACAGTGTCAGTGTTCAGTGTCGCTATGGAAACAGTGACAGTCTGAAGCTGTGGTGTAAGATCGGGGGCTCCTGTGCATCAGAGAGATCTGGGAGTTTGGATGGGAGGCCTGTCCTGATCAGGGATGACAGAGTAAATAAAGTCTTCAATGTGACAATGAGGGGACTGGAGATTAAGGACACAGGCTGGTACTGGTGTGCTGACAGAGACCAACAGATCCCAGTTCATTTTACTGTCAGTCAGACAACTACAACCACAACCAGCACTGAACGTAAGTAACTAATTTAAATTTGGTTGTGAATCAGGGTATTACCAACAAGCAAAGTAACATTAAAGTATCTTTATCATCTTCTGCAGTATGTTCCATGGGTCCCACACTATGATGAAATTACCATCTTGTTGGTCATGGTGCAGTAATGTGATGAATAGAATATTAACATGAAAGACATTTAAAGATTGACAATCTGACTATTAAAACATAAAGAGGCCTGAAGCCAGAAGTAAATTTCCTGTAGGGGGTTATGCCCCCCCCAGGTCCTCCTGAAGCCCACAGTCACTTCCTCGCTCCTGTCGATGTTTAACAGCAGACTGTGGGCCTTGCATCACTCCACCAGCTCTCTCCCCCCCTGTCTGTACACAGACTCGTCTCCCCCCCTCATGAGGCCGTCATGCTGCTGTCGTCTGCATACTTTATGATGTGGTTAGAGGTGGTCTTGGCGGAGCAGGTGGATGTCAGCAGTGTGAATAGTAGGGGGCGGAGCCAGCGACCTGGGGGAGTTCCTGTGCTCAGACTGCATGTGTGTGTGAGTGGTGCGTGTGAGTAGTGTGTGTGCCCTGTGACGGCTCGGAGCCCCATCCTGGGTTATTCCCTGCCTTACACCCGGTATTTCTGGGAGGGCCTCCAGACCCCCATTGACCCTGCATAGGACGACACAAACCTCCATCCACTAATTTTAATTTGTGTTCTGATTATTTTCCTTTCCAAAACACTGTGTATAATCTAAGTCTATTATAACACTGTCAGCAAGTAATTTATTCCTGCCCAGATCCCTGACACAAAGCTGGAGGCAGAACTCCATGATATCATGGTATATGAATTTATACACACAGCAGAAGCCATGACAGAATACGACATTTCCTGGATACTATTGCTACATACTACTGCAACCGAGTCAGGCCAGTCAATCTTAACTCTGAGACTGACACAGCATACAGGAAGTGACAAACCCTCTGTGTGTCATCAAAAGCAGATGTTTAAAGACAGAACAACATGTATATGTCATTATACAGATTCTGTGTGATTATTGGATTTTACAATGATTTGATTTGGCATCAGGCGTCATTAAGAAAATAAATATAGAAAAACATAAAAGCTCATGGAAATGTTTCATTTCCTGTCTGTCTGTCTTTCTATCTAAATATGCTGCATGGTGGAGTGAGAGAGAGTGAGAGTCTGTCCCAGAGTAAGTGATCCTAACCTGGAGGCCCATCAGTTAAGAAGAGGATGAAGAGGAGCATCAGAGGAGCCTTATGTGTGTCTCACTGACCTCAGATCTGTGGAGACTGACACTCACTTCCTGACTCTCCATAACTTCACTGCCTCCCT